CGGGATAGCGAGTTGAGAGCTGACAGAGATTGGAGCAAACGCAGAGAGAGAGAAGAGAGAGAGAGAGAGAGAGAGAGAAAAGAGGGAGGGTAAAGTGTGTATGATATAGGAGGGGTAACGAGAGCGAAAAAGAACAAGAAAGGGAAGAAGCGAGAAGAGAGAGAGAGAGAGAGAGAGAAGAGAGAAGAGCGCGACGAGCGCGAGAAAGACAGAAAGAGAAAGAGAAAGAGAGCGGGGGTGGGGAGAGATATGTACAGCTCGCTACCTCGCTACCTCTCCCCTTCTCTCTCAACTCTCCCCACTCTTTCTCTCTCACACACACACACGCACACACAACCAACACCACACACACTCTCTCTCTCTCTCTCTCTCTCTCGCCATTGCCGATTTTCTCTCTCTCTCATCTCTCTCTCTCTCTCTCTTCTCTGCTGTCTGCTCTCTCTCTCTTTCTCTATTCTTATGCTCTCATCCGTATCTCTATCTATTCTCTATCTCTGCTCTCTTCTCATGTCTCTCTTCTCTCTCTCTCTCTCTCTTCTTCCACTCTCACTCTTCTCTCACACACACCTCTCATCTCTCTCTCTCTCTCGTCGCTCCATTTCACTATCACTCTTTCTTCATGGTCTCTACATCTCTCTCTCTCTCTCTCCCACTCTCTCTCTCCATTTCGCTATCACCAAATCCCCTCTCTCTCTTGCTTTCTCTCCAATCCACAATCACTCTCTGGCGCGTCCCAGAAGAGGGGGAAGGTTAACGAAAATGGCATTTATCCGCTCGTTGCCTCACCAGTGGTGTATACATAGATAATGGGCTCGACTTGCTAATAACGAGAGTGATGGATCAGCAACGGGGCGATATGCGATGAGCGCTGTGTTCCGCCATATTCCATTAATCGACAACTCCTAGGCAGCAGCAACAACAACAACAACAACAACAACAACAACAACAACAACAACAACACAACACACAACAACAACAACAACAACAACAAACAACAACAACAACAACCAACAACAACACAACAACAACAACAGCGTAAGCAGCAGCAGCCAGGCAGCAGTATGTAGTAGTAGTAGTCAGAAGTAGGCAGTAGTAGTAGAGCAGCCGCCAACAACAACAACAACAACAACAACAACAACAACAACAACAACAATATCGGGGAAGGGGTTTAATATCGGAGAGGAAGAGTGAGTAATATACGGAAAGGAAGGGGTTAATATTGCAGAGAAATGAAGAGTACTATCAGAGAAGGAGGATGACAATAACATCCGAGGAGGGGTATAACAGCGCGCAGGAAGAATGGGAGTGACCTAGCTATTAGCGAGATCGAGTATAGTCAACGATGCACGCGCGCTCTATAATCCAGGGGTGTTGCTATGAGCGCCGGCTGGTCGTCTTTTTTTCCGTACGCACATGCGCAAAGGTTCCGTCTGATGTACTGGCTGGTGGATTTGCTCTGACGCGATAAACCTATCGAACAAGAGAACAAACGCCCAGTTTGTAAATATGTGTTATTCTTTCAGTATCATCAGGGCGAGTTATAGTAGTTTCAACACACATTTTAGCTCAATTAATTAGATTATAATATCACATAATTCATTCTTTGTGTTAATGGTTATTTTCATCTTAAATCATTAAGTTAGGAGAGGGTGTGGGCGTCTCGTAAGAACGTCTCGGTAACACTTACATTAGTGCTCTGCTAGTAACGTAGCTCGACGAGTAGCCTCTCGCTGTCGCAGGAGTACAAGATAGCTCCGCGACCTATAAGTACTGTACTACTAAGCTAGAGTAAAGATAGATACAATAATGTTAATCCCACAACAATCGTAACTCTATTCAACTATGTGATTTGAATTAACTGGATCATTATTTTTTACCCTCTTCATTAATTCAAGTGAAACAAATCATTATGTTGTGTGAACTTATAGCTTCAAAACTATATGCATACTTTTTCTACAGAAATTATTTCATCCAACTGATGTAATAATGCTGACAATGTACATGTAGGCCTACCAGTGTTTCAAAAATCGTATTATTTCAGCGATCACGTTATAATATCTTTCAATACATGGTTACTATATTCAGCAAATCTGTTCCAATACAAATTGGCCTTTCAGTTCTCTAATTAAAATTTGTTGGGAAGCTAGATCTGGCCATAAGTTAATGGTTATTAGAAAAGGTGATAAAAACAAACAAACATACCGACATGTCTAGAATAGGTTGTATCTATTCATGCTTGGCATCTGAAAGGTGTTTATTTCATAATATGTTCCCAAGTAATTAAAGTCATTTTACAACCTAATGCTTTCATGTACTTTCTTAGAACAGACCGGTAGAATACATTACAGCAGAATAATTAGTTTGATATGCTCATATATTAGAGTTTCAATAAACTGTCACCCGTTTTTGTTTAAATTTTTTGTTTACCGATAGCATTGGTATATTTTTGTGGGAGCTAATATAAGCAGCAAATGGATAGTGTTTGGTAACGTGGAAAAAACGCCAAACCTGATTATTCTTTTTTATAGAGTCATATCTTAATATTAGTTCTGTATGAATTGACTAATGCCCTGACTATAATATGTCTTCTTAGTTAGCCACAATCGCTCAAGATTTTCAAGAACATAACAAATGTACTCAACAATGGTTTGGCGGTCACGCCTGAACACTGGCCATTTGTAAAGTGTACATAGGGATGTTTGACTACTGGGTATTATACATTACAACAGTGTCATTCGTATGTTAACTAGTATTGTAGTAAGTGTTACGAAGTCTTACGAGAGCCCAAACCCTCTCATAATGTAAGATTAAGATGAAGAATAACACAGTTACACAAAGAATTGTAATTATATGATATTATATTCTATATTAATGAGTAAAGATGTGTGTTTTAACTTACTTAAATTTATAATTCGACCTGATGATGAACTAAAACAAATTATTTACAATGGGTTTGTTCTCTTTGTTTGGAACGAGTTTATCCGCGTCAGAAGCAAATCAAAGCAGCGCATCAAGAGGAACACCTTTGGCATTTGCGGTACGGAAAAATAACGCCCGCGTGTGGGCAGGCGAGGGTCACGTGATTCAGTTGACGAATAATATTCAAAAACATTACTATCCGGTACGCTAACTCCACACTCTCAACGTAACATAACACTAAACTAATATATCTCGGAGCGCTATATAGCTATAGATCTCAAAAATCCACAAAATTAATCTCTATGGTGTGGGGACAGTATCATGATGCCAAAACCCTAACCCTAACCCTAACCGCTAACCAATCCCTAACGCCTATTCCGTAACACTGTAGTGCGGCCAACGTTGCGCGGTCAACTCCCTCCCGCCTGGGAGGGCGAGTTTTTAAACCGGCGTAGGATGGCGGACGCAGATTGGATGAGTCATGTGACGTCTCTGATTGGTAGGTGCGTCGAGGTCCTATCCAGAAACACCGCAGCCTACGCCCTATCCCTCTAACCTAACCACTAACCATATTGAAATTTAATTAACACTAATAATTGTAATTAAGCACTAATAAATTTATAAATTTAAAAAAAAATCTTTTAAATTAAATTGTTGTAAATAAAAATATTAAATATTGTAAAATAGATCGAATAAATAAAAGATGAAAAATAAAAAAATAATAAAATAAACAGATGGAAATTCCGAACTAAGCACTAGAAAGTAACGCCTAGACGCTTACACCAGCTAGCTATTCAGGCCGTATTGAAATTATATATACTAGCTGCGAGGTACCCGCTGCGCTGCGGTAAAAATCGATGCCTACTAATTGCTATCTACTAAATATTGGACACATAGAAAACATGGGTAAATGATACATTAACATTGACAACACATATCAATATTTACAAATTCAGTCTAACTAATAATAAGGCATGGGGGAAAACGTTACGTATGCCATTTATATGAACAGCAGAACCCAACTTAGAAGGCCGCTGGAACATAATAGTAATATTAATGGTGCAAATAGACAAGTTATTATAACAATGTGACGAATGGTTGACAGTTTTCACTTTAGGAAACCTCTTGAATAAACAATGGTTGCTCGTAGTTATTCGTATGTGGAACATAAAGCTGGTTCACCGAGAGGAATTTTAGTTCGTATTTAAGCGTTCACAAGACGGCGCTAAAATATACGCGGTTGCTTAGCCGCGATTGCTCGCGCTTGACTTTAAGGCGCGGAATGCATATTCGACGTCCAACTAAGCCGCCGTATATTCGACACGCTGGCCGAGTAGTTGGTTTGGTAGTGAACGCATTGAAATTGCGAAACTGTAGCGCTTAACCTAGACTGTGCCCGTCTCCGCCTGCACGACGTGTAGAGTGATAGCGTGTGGAATTTTCGTCGACACGACGTAGCAGTCTATAACTTATATCATCGCTAGCTAGGCCTCGAATCTCGTGTATCTCTCGTGTGAACGCTTTTTAGACCGAACTTTAGCACAACAAGTACGGTACCAGCTAGGCCGTGTTGAGTTGAACGCAAGCTTATGTAGAGATTTGCTGGGTCTCGACTGTTGAGCTCACCACGTACAGCTATCCATTGTCACTAGTAAGGATGAATAACGAATGGTATTATTAGTATAATAGAATCCGGTTTGGCCGCCTATAGGGAAGATACATACATACATACATACATACATACATACATACATACATACATACATACATACATGCATACATACATACATACATACATACATACATACATACATACATACATACATACATACATACATACATACGAACTCAAATATATATTAGATGGATCTGCCATGCATACATGCATGCATGCATCGGTGCGGTGGTTTCTGGGATAGCCTGCTGTGAGGAGTAAACCCAACGCACAAATCAGAGACGCGTGATACATCAATCTGGCGTCGCCATCCTACGGTTTAAAAACTCGCCCCCCCCCCCGCGAGATAGCATTACCCCTAATCCAGAGCGATGTACGTCATCTTTATACATGGCTGCGGTAAAATGTCGTGGTTCACAGAATTCCGGCTTTAGTTACCATTAAGTTGAATTCATGCATTATTCACGTCACGTATCAATTATTATAGTTCAGTAGTCGAAGATCGATACGGCGTCGCTGTGATTATAAGCTACACGTGCGTAGCGATGCAAATATGTGCAAACAAAGTAGGGTAACAACGCATGTCGGATAAATTCATCCTAATTATTATAATTAGTCGATATCCATCCTGAAAACATCGTGTCGAGTGTTGCATCACTGTGCATACTATTTGAATGTATTGCAGTAAGAACGAGGCAGAAAGCAAAGAATGCACCTGGTCTTTTTGTCGGCGCACACACGATCCCCCCGGTTAACAGGTCTTCCCTGATAGCATGTCTCCCCTAATAACACTCTCCTCTAGGGACAGATCCCCCAATAACGGATGTCCCCTGGGGAAGGATCTCCCCCTGTTGACAGATCCCTCCCGCTGACAACTACTCATATAAGGTTATATGCAGCTGGGGTGATCAAATGTTCCGGATTGCAACAACACCTCCGCTATGCACATAACGCAGGTTAAATGCCACCGTATCGGCAGCATTCGAATTATTTCTCCACTGGCAGGCATGAAACGAGCAGACAAACACGAGAGCGATCCGGGAGAATGTTCGATCTGCCACGAGTGATCAGACAATCTCGCATCTCGCACATTGAATAGATAGGAGCAGAGCATCGATATAAGAAATCCACTGTGAATTGTAAACAGAAGGATCAAGAAGATCAGAAAAGGAAGCTAGCATATGGCAAGGAAGGCTCAACTTAATAAAACCACTGTAAATTATGGAGAGAATGGTCAACGGATGGTGGCAATAGTGCAGCAGATAACCACAACAATTGTGCATTTTATGAGAAAAGCATGAAATTTCTAGCATAGTTAGTATATACCATTATGTTAATTTTAAGATGTGGAGGGAAGTCAGATTTGACCTCTGAAGACCGTGAGAGGTCAAATCCAAGATGGCCGCCAGTCCACCGGGTCTTAATGTTCAAACGCGCTTAATTTTGGAACCAAACAGCGTAGAAAAACATTTAAGGTGTCGATTCCAACTAAATTGGGGATGACCATTCATTTGGTGATACCTTTAAAATCGATAGAACTCAAGGACATGCATTTAGGCCAAGGTTAAAGTCGAATTACGTTCAAAAAGTCGAATATCCTATTTTCAAATATCCTATCAATTGGTAATGTTCAAAACAGAACAGAACACACACAGCACAGTCACACACAAGCAGCACACAGCACAGCACAGCACAGAGCAGCTTTGGCACACTTGCAGCGTCCAGTGCACGCTTTCTCGCAGCGACAGTGGATCAATTCATGGCACGATTTTGCTGCTTTAGGGAGAGTGGTCCAAAGAGGCTGCCACCCAGTTGTTTCCTTTGTCCAGCCCCAGTCAGATGGTTCTGGAATCTCTGGATCCATGACCAATGCCTGGTTCCAACAGTTGGCCTGGTAGCAAAGGCGCTTGATGTGCTGCTTCAGTGCTGCCTGGGTTGGAGGAATGTTCTCTAGAGTTCTAGACTTATGTGTGAAGAGCTGTTTTCTGGCATCATTCACTTCCTTGCTCTCACTGGTTCTGTCATACAGCAGCACCACAAATCGCTCTAGCAATAACATTGATCTTTCACTGACCTCACTCGGCATGCATAGGAGCTCACTGAAAGCATCATTCACCTCTGGAAAAGACTTCCAAGTTTCCCAGGCAGTCTTCTTTCCTCTGCCAGCGAATGCAGATACAGTGTCACATCCGGTGAAAGCGTGAAAGACTGGGAGAGTGAGACACTGTGTTGAATTCATTGTGGCAAGCATTTTGTGAACAGCCATGTACCGAACGCTTGAGCCAACACCAAAGGCAACCCACAGCTCATCAGGAGCTATCTTGCTGAATGAAGCCACAGCCAGTACCACCACATCAGTATCAACGGTACGTATGGTCACCTTCTTACACCCCTTTTGCACAGCATCTGCCACATGCAGAAGTAGACGAGTGTCAGCCTCCTCTTGTGAACATGGGGCAAGGCGGCCCAAGGATGACTCGGCAGGAGAGCACAGGATCCCACTTCCAACTGTTGCATACAGTTCCTTGCCTTCTGCTAAAGGAAGGTGAACAGCTTCGTGTGACAGGAAAGCAAACAATTCGGTTTTGTTTTCATTGACTCGAAGGAAGTCCTTCCAGTTCTTTGGCATCACAGTAGAAGGAGACACCCTTCTCCTGATGCCCTTTCCCCTATTCTGTCTGAGTGAGGCTTTCAGGCTGTCAGGTAGGTATACATCCCAGACAAGGTCGATGCGGCTGCATTTCTCGAGTTGAGCAGAGATGTATGGTGCAAACACTATTTCACCATACTCTTGAAATGTTTTTGAAGTTCCAGGATTTAGCATTTGAACCACAGCTGCACCATCGAAAATTGTTGCATCAGCCACAGGCACACTATTGTTGTCGAGCAGATCTGATTCCAGGCAGCGAAGTAGGTCTGCTTTAACCCCAAACCGCATTTTTCCTCCAGTTGACAGAGCTGGCGGGGCTGCCTGGTTTTCATGGGAGAAGAAATTGTTGATGTCTCCATCTCGAGTTTGACAGGAGATGTACAGCCTCGAAAAGAGACCACAGTCACTCTTCAGTGCTGCGAGCTGTGCCTTCTGTTTTGACTTAATCTTGACCGGTGGCCTACTGAACAGTGGCAACTTGTTCTTTGGAAGTCTCTGTGTGACAGGTGTGGTACACTGTTCTAACCTTTCTGTCACAAACTTAGTGTACTGCTCCTCACCAAGGGTCTCAATCCTTCTCACAGTTTCAGCCACTTGGGTGTCCATGATGTCCCTTGTGTCAATGACTAGTAGGTCTTGGCTGTGTTCTAGAAATGGATTCCCCATCTCTTTCAGCACTGTCACAAGTGCCTTAACTTGCTTCAGGAATCCTGCTTGCACTCCACGTTGCTGGTCATGGTGAGGGTGTCCAGTGTCAACAGCCTCACCCTGTTGCTTTATGGCCTGTTCCTCAAACTCTGTAGTAATCCTGGCAATTTCTGGCCCTGCTACCATCCAGCGTCGGAGTGCTCCTGGATTGCCTGTCAGTCCTATAGCGCCACCAGAACCTTTCACCATTGCATTGTTTTGCTCGTGGGACTGGTCAAGTGCCATAGCAGAGAACTTGTTGCTGGTTTTGTGCACCACAAAGTTTCCAGACTTGAATTCCGCTAGGACATCTGGGTGTTTTTCAGCAAGAGTCGTCATGTCACGGATGTGTACGGGAAGCCACCTGGAGTAGCGCGTGTGATCTAGGGCAAACATCCAGGGCATGATCTGCGTCAGGGATTCCACGTACAGATAGAAGTTACCTTCACGAAGTAACCTGATGTACCGCAGCATGAGAAGCACCAATGACAGGGCCTTAAGCCAGTAGTCAAAGTGGACACTGGCTGTAGGCACCACTCCTCAAAAGATGGACTATCTGCGTACATAGCATTAGTATCATCGGATGTGCAGTCTTCACTGTAAGCTTGTTGGAGGAGTGTATAAATGCTTGCAGCTGTGACCTGGTGTACATGGCGTGTCTTGGTGACATGCCTGGCATGTATGAAGGAATTTGCTGTTCCGGAACTTGCAATGTCAGCCTGTACCAGGGCGTTCGTCCAACCACTGTCTTCCAGCCAGTCTCACAGCAACTTCAACGTTGCCATCTCGATGTGTATACCACCAAACATGATCACAAAGTGATTCTCTCCGTGAGTGGCTGGCCAGGTCTACTGGACTTCCTTAGCAAGAGCATACAGTGGTTGGTCAGCAGCAAGGACAGGAATCTGGCCAGGGTTCAAGTGCTGCATGGCAACTTAAAAATGATCATCAAATATATGGGAATCTTAAGATTATTTTGAAATTACATTCTGGGTGTTTATTTGCAAATTTCAACTGATTTCTTATTTTTTGGTCAATTTTGACCATGACCTTGGCCTAAATGCATGTCCTTGAAGTCTAGCGATCTCAAAGGTATCACCAAATAAATGGTCATCCCCAATTTAGTTGGAATCGACACCTTAAATGTTTTTCTACGCTGTTTGGTTCCAAAATTAAGCGCGTTTGAACATTAAGACCCGGTGGACTGGCGGCCATCTTGGATTTGACCTCTCACGGTCCTCAGAGGTCAAATCTGACTTCCCTCCACATCTGAAAATAAACATAATGGTATATACTAACTATGCTAGAAATTTCATGCTTTTCTCATAAAATGCACAATTGTTATAATATGAGAGCTTATCAACTGTACTACAAGGAAAGGACGACGGTGGAAGCATGGAGAAGAAAATTGAGAAAAAAAGATCTTGGACTAGTCTCCTTAGAACAGCGGGGAATGTAGTATAGAGCGCTGCTTTACCTTTGATATGAGCTCATCGTGATTGGCGAGGTGTGCTCTGCAGTGTACACAACTGTAGGTCCGGTGGCAATTCGGTAGATATGCCTGCAAGCAAAAGACACCTATTAGCGAGAAGTACTCTCTATGAGAGATAAACCCTAACAGTTTAGTGATAGAAGGTGCGTGTGTGCGCGCACGTGCGTTCGTGTATGAGTGCGTGCGTGCGTGTATGCGTGCGTGCGCGTATGCTTGCCTGCGTGTGTGCGTGTATGCGCGCGTACGTGTCTGTGTGTGTCCACCCACCCACTATTCCATCCATCAATCCACGCAACCATTCATGCGAACATACACGTATTCAGCCACGCATTCATCCAGATCGTTCATTTTCCACTCAATTTTTTCCCTTATATCTGATCATCATTTTTCTCACATTCGCACAATTACAGTCAGTTATGCTGCATTGTGAAGCTTTGTGGGTTTTCAGGGCAGCAGCAGCAGCCAGCTGTGCTGTATGTACTGTAGGCAAGGGGGTATATCACCACAACCAAAATCAATACGTAGGCTGGCTGAAATTACTACAATAGTTTTAGATCACACACAAAAGGCACCAATAATCCTTAAGAGTCATCATCGCTCTACGATATAAGACCTCCACGCGAATGTATGTATGTGCGTGTGCGAGAGATAGCGCCCACACACACACACACGCACGCACGCAGGCGCACGCACACGCACACACACACGTAGCTCCCACATGATTAAACGGTTACACGACAAACCATGATTACCTTAGCGGGAATTTCGCACCTAGTCAACATTGGCAAACTCGAACCTCAAACCCGAAATTTCGTTCAAAACTCGCGGAAAACTCATTTACGACATCAAAGTGACAAACACAAGGCTGAAGCCAAGAGTACAGAGAGAGAGAGAGAGCGAGAAAGAGAGAGAGAGAAAGAGAGAGAGAGAGAGAGAGAGAGAGAGAGAGAGAGAGAGAGAGAGAGAGAGAGAGAGAGAGAGAGAGAGAGAGATAGAGAGTAGTAAGGTCTTATCTACACTCTATCAGACCGCTCAACGCACGAATGACAGAAGATCCAATAAACTATAAAAGCGAATGACTTTACGGCGCGAGCATGAGACACGCAACATCATAAATCACGTTAATTTTCATTATTGTCCGACAGGGCCCGTTTTTCGGGTGATTTACGAAAGCATTATTTTATCCGCCATTTTACTTGCCGAATCGCCAACCGTTGAACATGCGATGAGTCAAATCGGCCCGGTTTTTGTTTTAAGGCCTGTGGGAAAAGGCTTCGGTGGCGATGTAGCGCAAATTTTCTACAAAGTTTATTATCTTGCAGGTTCGGTGTTTTTACCCGCTAAGAAGTGTGCTCGCCGTTCGTTTTTCCACGTTCAGAACTGGCCAAATTTCTATTTATACATATTTCGAGCATCAATTTTCTGGATGCATGACTTTTGTTATTGCCATTTCTGTGGCAATAACTAATTAGTTGTGCTAATGATCATTATACATTACTCACTGTGACTGTATTATTATTGGGATAATTACGGGTTCCCCACTCACCCAAGGATGATAATTCAAACAGGGGGGAGGGGGGGGAGGGGGGGGAAACCAAGGGGGTCCGGGGGGTTTTTTTTACGTAACACCTAATTAATCGTAAATTAATCACAACATAGACGGTGATTTGGGGTTTTTGTATATATAAGATAGCGAGTCGTTGTAAGTTAGTGTTGGGTTGGGAGCGGTTGACTGTTTGTACTTGTGTATATCGTTCCTGCAGTGGAATGCGTGGCACGGTAAAAAACACATTGCGGTTTTCCTGTGTCGAATGGGAATTTCTTGACGTGGTTCCATCGCTGGCAACTTTATTGTGGTGGAATTTAATGCGGGGAGAGGTGTTTAAAACGGGGCGCAACGAATTGAAACAGGGGGGCGCGCCCCGTTTGGCGGCAACGTAGGGAGAACCTGATAATATAAAACACTAAAGGGGGAGAAAGGAACCGAATTTAAGCGTAGTTTTACGGCAGTCTATATGGGGTTATCTTAGGCGTTTTAAGGTTAGGGTTAGGGTCAGAATTTGGTTTAATGTTAAGTAAGAATTAAGTTAACATTAGAATTACGCATACTTATAAGGTTTTGTTTGATTATTTGTTATGCTGGTTTTCTTGCTTTGGCCTCATACTAGTTTTCAGAACTCAAAAAGTTTTTAGTATAAAATGCGCGGGCGATAGGGTCTGGAAGGTTTTACCATCTTGAGTTCATGCGATGCTGGGGTACAGCTGAGCTGGCTGCCAGGTGGCGTTGCTAAGGCCGTAGCTGTGGGTGGGCGGGCTCCGGATACGTCAAGGCAAACTGCTGTCCTACTCTTGGAAGCTGGGAGGCTGCAGACTTGAAGCTGGACGGCCTTGGTCCAGCGACAGTATAGCTTATCTACAAGAAGAATACTAGTTTGAGACCATCAGCATTTGTCGAATCTAATCGATGCATTTTTAGATTGACGCCAGCGGTGTTCTTGCACTACTGCTAATCTGCAAATTAATATAACAAAATTTTCTTTTTAAAACCGTTACAAGAATGAAGATTACGCACGGACTCCACCACTGCACAGTTAACTAAAGTACAAACTGATGAGATGGCCATCGCAGAACGCGGGGGGGGGGTCGAAACAGATGCATATGCACGTGCGCGTGTCTTTCAGAAGTGGACTCACTGCCCGCTCAGTGTATCGAGTGAAACGAGACGCTCGCGGGAATTTTTCACACGAGTCGATGCTATTGACCCGACAAAGACCCGAAGAACGAATGGGCAATTATTACCTCGCCAGGAATTTACGAACTATTTTGCGATACGAAAAAATTGTCGAGGCGGGTACGAACGGTGAAAGACGAGGGCGGTTCGGTCAAACACGTAATCCGACTCGGTTAATCATATATACAATGCCGTGTTTTTTCGCGTTTATACACGATTTATACTTTTTTTTCACGGTTATGTAGTAAAGGACGAAGAAACTGCGGTGACATAACTATCAGGGCGCGACGCGTGCGGTGCGTTGCACATTGTGTGCTACGCGGATGAGCAGCGTGATGCGCGTGTGGGTGGTGAATGCTGGCCGGTGTGGCGCGCCGTTGTGTGTGTGTCGCGCGCGTATTGCGTGCGTGATGGTTATTGGAAATTAATAACTATAAAAAGATGTATGCTGTTTGAGTGTGTATAGCTTGCTTTCGCTCAACATATCTGAATGAAATTTGTTGAACGCTAGGTGCTGTGTATTGAATCAATTGGCAGACGGTCTGAGAAACAGCTGCCATGAGTTTGCCTCGCAGAAGCATGAGCATAACGTCTGTGTCCTGTGCGTGTGGTGAGTGCGTGCGTGGGTGCGTAAAGTGCGTGCGAGTGTTGGTTGGTGTGGGGCGCACGTCGCCCACTTGCAGACAACATTTCATGTCAGCACGTAGGCTAATTGTATTAGAGAACGGCTAGTGCTGCTTTCTGAGGCCAATGCCAACTAACTTACAGGCAGCACATTAAGCATGCAGTACGAATAGGCAGGTGCACAATACTAGCGCGGATAGCAGGGCTACACCGATACAGGGGACGAAACAGCAACAGTGTAGCGAATATATTCCACGCGGTACTAATTTAATCTGAAGGGATGCTCCACAGACGGCTTTATATGTCGACTGGGAATCGAACGCAAATCATACGTGACTAAGTGAACTTTTCTGAATAGGTATTACGCGGATTGAAATTCTGCCAGTATTCCATGAGAGGCATGAGAAATAGAGGAAAGCATGTGACTGAATCACTGATGATGTGATTTTGCTACCACCCACGAGACTGTTGCTAGACGCACAAATCTATTTCTAAGCGCCGAATATCTATAGAGCTTTGCGATTTTTTCAGTATAAATCTACCTGCTAAAAGGTAAATCCGAATGCTTGCTTAGTTAAAATTCTGTTTTGATGTTTGGTCGCACGTGAGGCAAAAACTCACAAACGTTAACGAAGAGGCTTATTTCGACAAAAACCGTTTCCCTCATTTGCGCTATTGATCGAGTGAAGAATGGGATTAAAGTTTTAGAAATTATTAATCAATCCTCGCCCGATGTGCACAGCCACATATGGGGAATTGGATGCGATATACTCAGGAGATATAATCAATTTTGTTGTCGGCGAATCCAATGTTGTAACTCATTGATAAATGTAATCACTGGGAAAAGTGAAAGGAATCTTAGGAGCTTCATTTACTTTGACCGGTTCTCAAACACTAAATTCTCAGTAACGTGCAGTTGTAATGTATTGCCATGGTATTGATCGT